TTGAGTGTGAGAATAGGGGCCAGATTCACGAAGCGGTTACGCAAGTACTTACGAACCTGGGACTAGATTCACGAAGCAGTTACGCAAGTACTTCCGAACGTGTACACCTTTCCTCAATCTTTGACGGCTTTGGTTACATTTATTAAACAGTTTACAAGCATGTAAACTTGCCAATCAACTGTTGTTATTGTCATAAACAGCCTCCTGGTGCTTCGGAGCTCATTAACTGTTTAATAATTGTAAACAAAGCCGCCAAAGACTGAGAAAAGATGTACAGGTTCGTGAGTGCTTGCGTAACTGCTTCGTGAATCTGGCTCCAAGTTGTCAGTCTCACCCAAGTTGCTACAGACCTGTGAGGACATAAATCACGATGTCATGAATGACATCTAGTGTCATCAGGTACCAGGTAACCAGGTACCAGGTACCAGGTACCAGGTAACCAGGTACCAGGTAACCAGGTAACCAGGTAACCAGGTACCAGGTAACCAGGTAACCAGGTACCAGGTAACCAGGTACCAGGTAACCAGGTACCAGGTAACCAGGTACCAGGTAACCAGGTAACCAGGTACCAGGTAACCAGGTACCAGATAACCAGGTAACCAGGTACCAGGTAACCAGGTAACCAGGTACCAGGTAACCAGGTACCAGGTACCAGGTAACCAGGTACCAGGTAACCAGGTACCAGGTAACCAGGTACCAGGTAACCAGGTAACCAGGTACCAGGTAACCAGGTACCAGGTAACCAGGTACCAGGTAACCAGGTAACCAGGTACCAGGTAACCAGGTACCAGGTAACCAGGTACCCAGGTACCAGGTAACCAGGTAACCAGGTAACCAGTGGTCAGAAATTACATTACAAGAAGACATAAAACATGGCTGACCCTTAAGTGTCCCTCAACCACTTAAGTTCTCATTTATTATGTCAGATGTGTTGGGTTTATAGACCAGTAACGGCATTGTTACAGGTGTGTATATATATGTGTTACAGGTGTGTACATATATGTGTAATGTTGGTTACAACCAGATTTATTATTTAAGTGAGGCGGATGAAATTAAGACTACTGTGAAAATATATTAACAAATACCTTCACTTGGTGCGCTAATGTGAGAATTGTTTGTTACACATAGTAGTAGTAGTAGTAGTAGTAGTAGTGGTAGTGGTAGTAGTAGTGGTAGTAGTGGTAGTGGTAATAGTAGTGGTAGTAGTAGTAGTAGTGGTAGTAGTGGTAGTGGTAATAGTAGTGGTAGTGGTAGTAGTAGTAGTAGTGGTAGTGGTAGTAGTAGTAGTAGTAGTGGTAGTGGTAGTAGTAGTAGTAGTGGTAGTGGTAGTAGTAGTGGTAGTGGTAGTAGTAGTAGTAGTGGTAGTGGTAGTAGTAGTAGTAGTAGTGGTAGTGGTAGTAGTAGTGGTAGTAGTGGTAGTGGTAATAGTAGTGGTAGTGGTAGTAGTAGTAAGCTTAACAGATGCCTGAACATTTGTTTATCGTCTGTTCTTGTGGAACTGGGGTTTAGTCCTGTTGTGTTCCTGTATCGTGACGTTTTTCGATCGTGCCCTGTTCTCGCCGTGCCCCGCCCCGTCCTCGTCATGTCCCGTCCTCGCCCTGCCCCGCCGTGCCCCGCCCCGTCCTCACCGTGCCCCGCCCCGTCCTCGCCGTGCCCCGTCCTCGTCATGTCCCGTCCTCGCCGTGCCCCGCCGTGCCCCGTCCTCGCCGTACCCCGTCCTCGCCGTGCCCCGTCCTCGCCGTACCCCGTCCTCGCCGTGCCCCGTCCTCGCCGTGCCCCGCCCTCGCCGTACCCCGTCCTCACCTACCCCGCCCTCGCCGTACCCCGCCCTGGGCGTGCCATGTACCCCGCCCTGGCTCTGGGAGCCCAGCTCTTGTTGGTCTTACTTGCTCTGAGGGAGACGGTGTAAATCGCATGTTTTTAGTCCAGAGTTTCTCTTGGTGTTGAGAGCCGTAGCGAGTCGTGTCTCATAACTCGAGGACTAATTCATAGCTGCTCCTCGAGGCTGGAGAGCCGAGCGTCGTCACCAAGCCGTTGTCAGTGCTATTTACAGAGGAAACGCTTGTACGTGCGCTGGCTTAGTTACGTTACTGGTGATAAGATGTTTGTCATCACCCTGCCAAACTGGCTCTACCCTTGCTGTCGTGCAGCGGGATATTTTAATGCAACAAATGGCGAAAACGGCCGTTACCGAGAGTAATTCAAGGAGCATCAAGGCACACAAGAAAAAAACTGAAAGACATAGAAAATAGCGTAAATTTCCGTCTCTGCAAATTATTGGCAATCATGTCCCATAAATTATGCAGCAGTAATACCAACACGTTGGGGCATTATAGAGCAGTGCCACGACCGCCCGTAAGGTGTACTTTCGCCCTGGGCGTGGCCTGGAGATGGACCTTCGGGCCAATTGAGCGTGAGGGCATGGTAGGGTAGAGCAGAAGGCGGGGGGGTGCGTGTGGGTGTAAGTCAGTCAGTATGGCTCCTTTATGTCGGAGCGAGAGGGGGTGCCAGGACACCGCTCGCCTCCATTAATACTCACCAGTCTTGTAACTCCCAGTGATTAGCATCTGGTGGGGATTGGTGCCAGCTGCGCGCCCAGTCGCTCCCGCACTTGTTGACGGCTGTGAGGACTTGGGGCCAGAGGCCACGGGCCACATTCACGAAGCAGTTATGCAAGCACTTACGAACCTGGGGCCAGATTCACGAAGCAATTACGCAAGCACTTACGAACGTGTACATATTTCCTTAATCTTTGACGGCTTTGGTTACATTTTTTTACCAGTTTACAAGCATGAAAACTTGCCAATCAACTGTTGTTATTGTTATAAACAGCCTCCTGGTGCTTCGGAGCTCATTAACTGTTTAATAATTGTAAACAAAGCAGCCAAAATTGAGAAAAGATGTACAGGTTCGTAAGTGATTGCATAACTGCTTCGTGAATCTGGCCCCAGGTTCGTAAGTGATTGCGTAACTGCTTCGTGAATCTGGCCCCAGGTTCGTAAGTACTTGCGAAACTGCTTCGTGAATCTGGCCCCAGGCACCTCTGCCACACCCACAACACCTGTCTGGTAATGGTGAATTTGGAGGCTACCTACCTACCTTGGGAATAGGGCCTTGGGAGTTGAGAGTGGACACGACCCAGCAGGAATTACGGGCTATTCATGCCCGTACCACCTCTTGGATGGCTTAATCTTCATCAATCACCAGCAAACGTGCACATCTAGACATGTAAGATGACGGGGAAGATCGCGAGAAAAAGCCCGTAACACATCTACAGAGACGGAACTTAACTCACCACCAGCATGCGTTCAGGGGTGGTAAATGATGCCTTACAGCTTTAATAGAATTATGACATGGCAACAAACATTAAGCAAGAAAGAGATCTATCTTGAGGTTATCTTGAGATGATTTCGGGGCTTTAGCGTCCCCGCGGCCCGGTTCTCGACCAGGCCTCCACCCCCAGGAAGCAGCCCGTGACAGCTGACTAACACCCAGGTACCTATTTACTGCTAGGTAACAGGGGCATTCAGGGTAAAAGAAACTTTGCCCGTTTGTTTCTGCCTCGTGCGGGAATCGAACCCGCGCCACAGAATTACGAGTCCTGCGCGCTATCCACCAGGCTACGAGGCCACCCGCCTCGATGGGTGGGCATACTGCATATTCTTGGACTGCCTCAAAGCTTTTGATACAGTGGCCCATAAAAGACTTGCGCATTTTGAAGAAACAGGTAGGCATAACTGGTCAGGTACTCCATTGGATTAGGGAGTACCCAACAGAAAAGTTATTGCGAGGATTGAGACCTCAGAATAGCGAGATGTTACAAGGGGAGTACCACAGAGTTCTGTACTTCTGACCTGTCCTGTTTCTGATACTTGTAATTGATCTTCGAAGGTATAGACTCATTCCTCCCTGTTTGCTGACGACGCTAAAATCATGAAGGATTAAGAGAGGAGGAGAGCAAGAGACTACAAGAAGATCTGGACAGACTGAAAGAATGGTCTAACAAATGGCTAGAAGTATGTTGACCAGACCACACACTAGAAGTTGAAGGGACGACGACGTTTCGGTCCGTCCTGGACCATTCTCAAGTCGATTGTCACAATCGACCTGAGCCCGTGACAGCTGACTAACACCCAGGTACCTATTTTACTGCTAGGTAACAGGGGCATAGGGTGAAAGAAACTCTGCCCATTGTTTCTCGCCGGCGCCTGGGATCGAACCCAGGACCACAGGATCACAAGTCCAGCGTGCTGTCCGCTCAGCCGACCGGCTCCCTAAGCGACGAATTTGAGGCGGCGCCCGCGAGTCGAGACTCGCGTTCCGCAGACCCAGTCCACCCACTTGGGCTGGACGGTAGAGCGACGGTCTCGCTTCATGCAGGTCGGCGTTCAATCCCCGACCGTCCAAGTGGTTGGACACCATTCCTTCCCTTCGTCCCATCCCAAATCCTTACCCTGACCCCTTCCTAGTGCTATATAGTCGTCATGGCTTGGTGCTTTCCCGACAATTCCCTTCCCTCTCCGCAGACCCAAATAGGTTAGCACAAGTACCCAAGAACGCGCAACAAATAGGTTAGCACAAATACCCAAGAACGCGCAACAAATAGGTTAGCACAAGTACCCAAGAACGCGCAACAAATAGGTTAGCACAAGTACCCAAGAACGCGCAACAAATAGGTTAGCACAAGTACCCAAGAACGCGCAACAAATAGGTTAGCACAAGTACCCAAGAACGCGCAACAAATAGGTTAGCACAAGTACCCAAGAACGCGCAACAAATAGGTTAGCACAAGTACCCAAGAACGCGCAACAAATATAACAAATTATAATTCATCACAATTTCAAAAGAGGAAATTAACTCATTATTTTGTGTAAGCAGATCGTTCGTTATGTGTTGTTAACGATCTTGTTAGTAGTGAAATATGAGCCGGAGTAATCATCTCAAGTGGTAGGCTGGAGTAATGAATAGCGACGATGAGTAATGATTGGTGGCGCTGAGTCATGAACAATGGAGAAGAGTCAAGTGTGGCCGTGGGTTCATGGGACGTGAGATGGGGAGTGGGTAAATACTGGCGAAGGGGTATTGTGAATAAGTTGTGATGGGACAATAGTAAGGGTAGATGTTATGAATGGAAAGTTGAAGTATAAAAGGTGGGGTCATGAATGGGGCGCGTCGTGATTATGAATGGTGCACCATTAACAGAGAGACGAACCATTCATGGGGGAGATGACCCACAAATGGGTAAGGCCTACCTCATTCATGCTGCGGAGTGGTAGTAATGGGGAACACGAGACATTCATGATGAAGACCCAGAAATTGGTCAGGCGGGCATGAATGGGGGAACCCCCCCTCCCCCCATGCATAGAGGCGGGGCATGAATGGTGGCAGCTCACCCATGCATAGAGGCGGACCATGAGTATGGGAATAAAGTGAGTGCACTTTGAAACGAGGTGATTAAGGGTCATTTTCCTGTCTGGCTGTCATGGGGCAACGCCTGTAATTTTTAATTTGCTTTATGATTTAATAATGAGAGGAAGTATTCTTGGTGATATGTGATGTTGTGTATGGGCGTTGGGACATGGACCAGAGGTCATGGCAGCCTTTAGCGTGGGCATGGGTGGCAGCTGCGTGGAATTTGATGAAATACGTTGCATTGGAGAGCTTTGCAATTACTATATTCACTCTCGTATTCTTGAAGATATCCTCACAGTATACCCAAAATTTGCCAGTGCAGGCTATTAAACACATGGCTCTGTATGACTAACCATCCTGCGAGATGGGGACTTGTATTACCACTGCTACCTTATTCAATCTTGTGTTGTTGATATCCTAAAAATGCATCCGGAGTCTGCCAGTGCAGACCGCTTATCACATGCCTCTGTATGACTAACCATCCTGTGTGATAAGGATTTTATAGCATCACCTAGTTAGCTTTTTTGACACACTGTACTCCACTTCATATAGTCTAGGGCAGCTGCACTAATGCAGATGTACCTAATGTATTAATAAAAAAAAGGAGAGTTGTGGGAGTGTGTGAAAGTCTTCTTAGATAATTCCTCAAGCGACTGACGGAATAAAAGGAGTGTAGAGGGAATACTGAATACGCGGGGGGGGGGGTCTTGTTCTTCATGGGGGGCACCTCTCTCTCTTCTGTGAGGAGAAGTTATCTTCTTGAGGTTATCTTGAGATGATTTCGGGGCTTACGTGTCCCCGCGGCCCGGTCCTCGACCAGGCCTCCACCCCCAGGAAGCAGCCCGTGAAGGCTGACTAACACCCAGGTGCCTATTTTACTGCAGGTCGTCTTGATAGACACTACCTCGACCTGGTAGACTTCTTCACACTACAATATTCACTTTTCTGACATTTCTACATAACATTTCCCTCCCACTTCTTCACGATGAAAATAGGGGCAAAGAGATCTTTAAGTGTGTATTTATTATTTGTACTGCAGAATCGAGCTATTAGCTCTAGGACCCCGCCTTTCTACCCAATCTGGTTTTCCTCTAGTATATCTTCCACATATATTTATCTCTAACACATCCCACACACATCCCCAGGAAGTAGCCTGTAGCAGCTGTCTTAACTCCCAGGCACCTATTTACTGCTAGGTGAACAGATGCATCAGGGTGAAAGAGACTCTGCCCATTTGTTTCTGCCTCGTCCGGGAATTAAACTCGGCCGAGGTAGAATCGAGTGTGTGTGTGTACTCACCAAGTTGTACTCATCTAGTTGTGCTTGCGGGGGGTTGAGCTCTGGCTCTTTGGTCCCGCCTCTCAACCGTCAATCAACAGGTGTACAGGTTCCTGAGCCTATTGGGCTCTGTCATATCTACACTTGAAACTGTGTATGGAGTCAGCCTCCACCACATCACTGCCTAATGCATTCCATTTGTCAACCCCTCCGACACTAAAAAAGTTCTTTCTAATATCTCTGTGGCTCATTTGGGCACTCAGTTTCCACCTGTGTCCCCTAGTGCGTGTGCCCCTTGTGTTAAATAGACTGTGCGAGTGTGTGTGTGTGTGTGTGTGTGTGTGTATGTGTACTCACCTAGTTGTACTCACCTAGTTGTGCTTGCGGGGGTTGAGCTCTGGCTCTTTGGTCCCGCCTCTCAACTGTCAATCAACAGGTGTACAGGTTCCTGAGCCTATTGGGCTCTATCATATCTACACTTGAAACTGTGTATGGAGTCAGCCTGTGTGTGTGTGTGTGTGTGTGTGTGTGTGTGTGTGTGTGTGTGTGTGTGTGTGTGTGTGTGTGTGTGTGTGTGTGTGTGTGTGTATGTGTGTGTGTGTGAGAGAAGTAAGTTGTGGAAGATGGAAGCAGAAAGTGAGGAAAATCAATTGGTCGTGCACGAGTGAGTGTCTGCAACAGTTGGTTAGGTCCAGTCATGTGTTCATCCTTGAGGTGTTCACTCGCCCGTCTGGTCAAAGGCCACGCGCTCTCCTGAGATAAAAGGCAACTCAGATGTGGGGGAAAAAATACAGAAAATGCACTAAAGTTGAAGATGTCCATCTTCTCAGGACTGAAATCCGTGTTTGTTTAAGGGGAGGGAGTAAAGTGATTGCTTGTAGGATCTCTCTCTCTCTCTCTCTCTCTCTCTCTCTCTCTCTCTCTCTCTCTCTCTCTCTCTCTCTCTCTCTCTCTCTCTCTCTCTCTCTCTCTCTCTCTCTCTCTCTCTCTCTCTCTCTCTCTCTCTCTCTCTCTCTCTCTCTCTCTCTCTCTCTCTCTCTCTCTCTCTCTCTCTCTCTCTCTCTCTCTCTCTCCCTTCTTCTCCTTCTTCTCATTGTTCTCCTTCTCTTTCATTATATCTAAGACTTACTAAGGGAGCCGGTCGGCCGAGCGGACAGCACGCGGGACTTGTGATCCTGTGGTCCTGGGTTCGATCCCAGGCGCCGGCGAGAAACAATGGGCAGAGTTCTTTCACCCTATGCCCCTGTTACCTTAGTAGTAAAATAGGTACCTGGGTGTTAGTCAGCTGTCACGGGCTGCTTCCTGGGGGGTGGAGGCCTGGTCGAGGACCGGGCCGCTGAGACACTAAAAAGCCCCGAAATCATCTCAAGATAACCTCAAGATACTAGTGTTGGCGGGAACGTACTTCAGCTCCTGGGCATAGATTTCCAACTGTGGGTCTATTGCCTATCTCCGCAGACCTCTATTACTCCACAAGCTCCAGTTAGGTGCTCCCCGGAAGACATCATCTTGGTTATCTTGAGGTTATCTTGAGATGATTTCGGGGCTTTTTAGTGTCCCCGCGGCCCGGTCCTCGACCAGTCCTCCACCCCCAGGAAGCAGCCCTGGTGACACTTTAGATAATACAGCGTTAAAATGTAACTTATATTAACTTATTTCGTATAGGCCTAGTGTTGGAATTGACGTATAGGCCTAGTGTTGGAATAGACAAGATCAATCGCTCTACGAGCGAATGATCTTGCCGAGTTTGAGGCAGAATTAGACTTGAGGAGAATTGTCTATTTTCACTCGGTTGAATTCGGGTGATTGAAAGGACAAGGGTTAAGCGGATGGTGTTAGGACTCGTCTTCGGCGATGCTGTATGAGATACTAGCTGATAGTTCTTTGGGTGAATCAGGTGGAGAGTTGGTGCTGAGATTATAGTCTTGAAGATTATCTTCCACAAGGAAACTTAACATACACGTAAAGCAGTTGGGAGTTCCCTGAAGCATTTATCTTTACGATTTCATGCATGTTATTATAATGTCTAGTTTGGGTTTGTGGAGGTTAGAGGGTTGGGTTGTCCAGTTAATAGTTATTGACCAATCCACACACTAGAAAATGAAGGGACGACGACGTTTCGGTCCGTCCTGTACGCCAGTCGAGGACATAATCGACTGAGAATGGTCCAGGACGGACCGAAACGTCGTCGTCCCTTCACCTTCTAGTGTGTGGATTGGTCAACATACTTCAGCCACGTTATTATGACTCGTCGCCTTCAGTTAATAGTTGTTTGCTGGTTGTGGGAGCCAGGCATTATGGAGAGGATGTAGGGTCGCACTGAAAGAACAACTCATGGAAGCCACCTCCATTCACTCTGGCACCACGACCACCCATGAGGCAGTGGGTGCCAGTACATCTACGAGCCCCACCAGGAGTGGGCTAACTAATCGTTGCTGGAATTCAATCCTAGCAAGTGCAAGTTAATGACGATGGGAACGGGAGAGAGGAGAGCAGGAGAGATATATAGTATAAGGGGAAGGCAACTACAGGAATCGGAGATTTGGGAGTGGATATAATTCAATGCTGACATCAGACGCGCTCAAAAACAGGCTGACATCCGCAACATATGGGACGCTGAACATCATTTACAACCCTAAATCAGGACTCCTTCAAAGCAATTTACACAACTTCTGTTGTGATATATAACACAACAGAAGTCGTGGAATATACAGTGGATATATATAGCTATGTATATGGATATCGTGGAGTGTATCCTGGAGTCACGTATATGGAGTCGTGGAATATACAGTGGATATATATGGATATGTATATTCCGCTAACAGTGGAATATACAGCCTTGGCATGGAAACCATCTTGTAAAATGTAGAGCATACAATTAAAGAGAACAAATATTTGCAACAAGACTGGTGCCAGAGCTAAGAGGGATAAGCTGCGAGGAAGGGGTAATGGAACTAAATTTCCCAACACTAGAGGGGAGAAGAAACAGAGGGGAAATGATGATAACGTAAAAGATACTGAGGGAAATAAAGTGGACAACGATAGCCTCTTCAACCTGAAAGTAGGACAAGAGGACTCAGATGGAAGCTGGAAACTCATATGAGCCGAAGGAACGTAAGGAAATACTTTTACTCTGTATGGGAAGTAAATAAGTGGAATGCACCGAAATAAGTTGTGGAAGCCACCTCCATCCACAACTTGATGGCAATATTCGGCATAGAATTTGAACTTGCGTTATAATTTAACTGTTCTTAACAGGTACAACGAGACTACTAAGCCGAGACTCAAGAGCTAGACCTCACTCCCCCGTAGACACTGTTGAGCTGGCGCCGACCCTGCTACCCGGTAACCCGTCGCCGCCCTCGCCACCCGGTAATCCGCCGCCGTCACCACCCGGTAACCCGCCGTCGTCACCACCCGGTAACCCGCCGCCGCCACCCGGTAACCCGCCGCCTCCACCCGGTAATCCGCCTCCGTCACCCGGTAACCCGCGCATCACCGCCGCCCGCTCACCAGCAAGATATACCTCAACGGCCGATCAAAGTACATATAATTTTGGTGAGTGACGTACAGGCGGAGTTGTGTGGTGCTTGGAGCAGTGGCACTCAGTGGCCCTGTGCCAGGTGGTGCCCGGGATGACTGCCTCTCCCCCTGGGCACTGTCATCTTTCCCAGACTCGTAAGGTTTGCAACAAGTCGTACGCGAGCTCTGCAATGATTGGTCTGCACCTGTACAGTTAAGTGGGTGTATTGAAAGTTATCGTCGTAAGGAAATAGGTAGAGTTGTGGTGCCTTCTCTACATCTTCCCAAAATATAGAGTGGGTGCGGCCTGCTACGAGATTCATCTTACTGAAGACATGTTTGGTAAACAGGAAGCTTTTTATGTTATATTTAGTATGAATGTATTTGCGTGTTCACTGCAAGATTGTGTTGTATTTCCTTGTTTCTGACCGTCTTCCGCCCAATGACGTCTTCATCGTATTACTATAAGTATAAAATATATAAGTTTGAGAATAACAAAACTTGTTCGTCTTGTTTCAAATTTGATATACTTAAAATATTTATACTTGGGAGGATGGTTAACCCAGAAGTGTTCTTACCAGCGACCTACGACCTCAGATAACTACAATTAAGGATTTTTTGAGATCATAAACAGACATCACAAAACGTCCACCAATATGACAAAGTAATTGTCACAATCGTAGACGGTCACTGTTACCTGTGGCAGGTAGCTGCAAGTGACGAATTTCTCTCAGCTAATGGTAAGATAATATACAAGGGGATGGCATCTATCAGGGGAAAGCGCCAAGACATTACGACTATATAACACATGGAATGGGTCAGGATAAGGGACACGAGAGACATCTCCCGTCACGCAGGGTGCAGCCGCACCTCCACAGATCCCCAGTACCATCTATTGATACTGGTAATGGCTCAAAAGGGCCACCACTTACGGGCTATTCATGCCCGTGCCACCTTTTGGGTGGCTTAATCTTGATCAATCAATCAATCAGGATAAGGATTTGGGATGGGACGGGGGAAGGAATGGTGCCACACACTAAATTGAACCGCGGCTAGAACTGCTGAACTACAGACCAGCATCACAAACAATGCAGTTGTCCTTGTCCTTCACCTGGCGTAAACCGAGTCGGTTCTCGAGAGTGTGACTCAAGTCTCTAGCTTAGTGAAACAAAGAATATCATCTTTACCGTTGTTTTTGTAAATGGTGTGTTGTTGCACTTCACAAGAACACACGGAGGAAGGTGTATTGTGAGAGCGGAGTTAGCCGTCGCTCCGTGCCAAGTGTGGTGTTTCCTCTCTGATAACCAAGAGTTTGACCTGGCCCGGGCGCTAAACAGTTATCAGCCTCAGGACACAGTCTTTCCCAGCCACAACAAGAATACACAATTGACTCGACTCCAGGAGCGGTAGTTCAGTGTAAACTTACCTCTGGACTCTCCCCCTCTCCCATCACCCCCTCCCTTTGTCTCGTTGCTTTTGATTTTTGATTGTTGCCGCCGAAGACGGCTAGTTTATTGTGCACCCCATACTCATCCTGTGAGCGGTAGCGCAAAAGCATTACAAGGGCACAAAAGGTCTTTATCAGACCTCATCTTAGATTATTACATAAACAATTTCTTCAATCCTTCACACCTTATAGATACAATGTTAGCTAGTTACAGAGAAAGTGCTATTACAAGAGCTACATATTTACAGTAAGTCATCATACATTAATGGTAGGTCTTATCGCTAATACATAATCCCCATCCTGACTCGCATCCCCTTCCCCCCTGTCTCGTATCACCCCCCTCTTCACTTCGCCTCCCCCTTCTCATCAACCCATCCCTTCACACTCACCACTTTTCAGCCACCATGTCTCTTCCTTCCCCTGCAGCCGTCCCTCACCGTGGCTCAATCCCCTCCTCGCCTCTGGTGCCTCAGGCCAGGAGGATCACCATCGCCCTAACACTGTTAAACTTGTTGTCACATAAGACACGTACAGGGGTGGTAGTGGTGGTGGGGGTTGTGGTGGTGGGGGTGGTGATGGTAGTAGTGGTCGTGGTGGTGGTGGTGGTGGGGGTGGTGATGGTAGTAGTGGTCGTGGTGTGGGTGGTGGTAGTGGTGGCAGTATTCATTGTGGTGCTTACCTAATAGTGACAGAAAATTAGCACTACCCTCTTGTCCAGGTGCGGTTGGGTGCTGTTAGCTCCTGACATTCTCGTTCTTTGTCGTCTCAGGTCTTAAAGGTGTGAATGGAGGCGGCTTCCTCAACTTCTTGCAATACATTCCACTTGGATAAAAATAAAATTAATATGGATAAAAATGCATGTATAAAACACGAATCTGTCAATAAAGATGTAGTTTCTATCACATGTGTAACAGATAACGTACGTGTCTTAACCTTAACACTTGTTAATAACGTACGAAGAGTTGACTGCTTCCGGCTTTCCATAAATCAACCAACAGTAGCTATTTTGTATTTATTATTTATTATAGAGAACCCTCCCTGTGTATGCTTGTTGAAGAGTTGAACGAGGCGGCAGTTAGTGTACTGCATCTGGATATCAACTTTTTTTATTTTAATTGTTAGGTTTCCTATTGAGAAAAGGAAATTAGCAGGGGAAGTCATTACGACTATATAGCGCTTGGAAGGGGTCAGGATAAGGATTTGGGATGGGACGGTGGGAAGGAATGGTGTCCAACCACTTGGCTGGTCGGGGATTGAACGCCGACCTGTATGAAGCGAGACCGTCGCTCTACCGTCCAGTCAAAGTGGTTGGGAGCTGCTCCTTATTGAATTATTCTGATCCTACAGAGTAGAGGTTTCGCAGTGTGTTCTCAACTCTACTGGATAAGGCCATATATTTTACCCCATCTTTGGCGGTCAAACGACACTGTGGTCAGGTTAAATATGGCGGCGCATAGGAATAATGTTTCGTGACCCTTCAGAATGTACAGTTTGATTATTATTGTACTGTGACAGGTGGGTGGGTGTAGTGTGCTGGGGGGAGGCGGGTGGGTGGGTGTAGTGTGCTGGGGGGAGGCGGGTGGGTGTAGTGTGCTGGGGGTAGGCGGGTGGGTGTAGTGTGCTGGGGGTAGGCGGGTGGGTGTAGTGTTCTGGGGGTAGGCGGGTGGGTGTAGTGTGCTGGGGGTAGGCGGGTGGGTGTAGTGTTCTGGGGGGAGGTGGGTGGGTGTAGTGTGCTGGGTTGTAGTGTGCTGGGGGAGGCGGGTAGGTGTAGTGTGCTGGGGGGAGGCGGGTGGGTGTAGTGTGCTGGGGAGGTGGGTAGGTGTAGTGTGCTGGGGGGAGGCGGGAAGGTGGGGTTGGCGACACCTTGCCTGTGTGGGGCAGAAGCTGGGTGTCACACCAGCCTCAGCGATTCTTGATGGCGCCGTCCCTCCCCCCCCCCTCCCTATCCACCCACAACAGCCATCTCACTCCTGCCAAACATAAGGTCTTGTGTCTCGCTGGGCTCCTCTCTCACCAGACTTAAAGAGCCTTGTGGAGCTTAACTTTGTAAACCTTGCACTATGTATGGTAGGTCGTCTTGGTGCGCTGCTACCGTGTCTATCACTTTACTCGTGGTGGGAGGGGGTGTTAGCTGGGGAGGGGTAGGCTGACCAAGCTCTGGGGCCAGATTCACGAAGCAGTTACGAACCTATACATCTTTTCTCAATCTTTGGCGGCTTTGTTTACAATTATTAAACAGTTAATGAGCTCCGAAGCACCAGGAGGCTGTTTATAACAATAACAACAGTTGATTGTGAAGTTTTCATGTTTGTAAACTGTTTAATAAATGTAACCAAAGTCGTCAAAGATTGAGGAAAGATGTATACGTTCGTAAGTGCTTGCGTAACTGCTTCGTGAATCTGGCCCCTGGACACAACATAAGCTGGGGACTCTGGGCTGGAGATTACTAGTGAAGGAGAACTCTGGTTCTCATAGTTCTTGCTGTGGCTCACGTATTACAATCTCACGTATTACAATCTCACGTATTACAATCTCACGTATTACAATCTCAAGTTACCAGGTGAAAACGGTGTAGCCGAGCGCCCACTAGTTCACCACATTTGCCATAGTTTACTTCATTTAGCCATAGTTTACTTCATTTTGTAGGAAGCTTTAGAGATATTAGTTTACTTAAAACACGAGATTTTATTGAAGGTTTGAGGTTCACATATGCTTCCAACATAGTAGATAAAAAAGATAGCATTAAAATGGTGACAGTATGAAAAGATAATTATGTTTGATGCGAAGAGATACACTGAATATTAAGACGAAACCACACAAAGATAGTTTAATTACGATACAATATTAAGCACTGACAAATCAACAACTTGAACTATGGTTAGAGCTATATATATGTAGGTTCTGAAGCGGGTATGTTCCTCAAAGCTATATTTCACAGCTACTTGTGTAAAGGAGGAAATGTATATGTTTATCTCTCAGAATGTTTGGTAATATGTTTATTGTTTGTGATGTGTGTCTATGTATATATTAACACGTTGTACTGAACGGGGTGAGAATAGCTTCAGCTACCTCATCCCTTTGTGTGTATTTTACCTCAATAAACTTATTTCAATTTCAATTTCACAGCATCCGCTGCATGACCCCATACAGTAATGTCACTAAGATACAGTGTTTGCCTCAAACGCTATGTGTATTAGTGGCTTTAGCTATTGTATGTACTAGCTCTATCTATAAATCCAACATTATAGGTAAATCATCTACGTACTTTTCCTGAATAAAAATTTGAATTTTGAATACACGGAGCATTCGTTATGCCTTCCAGTGGTTGGCAGCGTCACCGCCCAGCTCTTAATATGTCCGCAGTAGCCTCTACGCCTCTAATGGCATGGTACACCAAATTATGTAATATTTACCGAGCCAGTCACGGGCTTAGGTCCCATACAGGAATAGTCTGGCCTCATTGAAATATTTGCTAATTAAAATATCGCTGATTCTGTTGTTGATTCAGGTAATGATTCCAGAAAATGCGATGTAATCTTTAAACGTGAGACAAAATATATATGGCATTTATTTTTGCGAGATTTTGAGC